GGAAAAAACCACAGGATGGGCACTCTTGCCAGAAATAATCTATCTCTAGTTTATTTAGGGTTCTGATGAAACAAATCTGCTTCTTGAATTGCCAGCTTGGATGTCTGAACCTCCTAATTGGGATATTTCTTTGAACCAAAGGCATCACTGTCTGAAGGGCCTTTCTACACCCTGTTCTTGGTGTTCAGAAAGTTGGCTTGGTGTTCAGAAAGGATGGCTATGTAAAGGGAAATGCCTGGCACAGGTGCCCAGCAGTCTGAAGTGACCAGAAGCTGGGAGAATACTTGAAATTATCAGCCATGTTTGTCCTTTTCTACACTTTGCTAAATATCTGATTTTTGGCCACTGCTCATGCCAGAAGACTTTGGTCTCATCCCACAGTGATTGCTCTTATGTTCCTAGGAACGTATTATATCTTTTTCTTCACCCATAATATGGAAAAATTAAGTTTATAAGAACAGATTAATATTTTCAATAACTTTCCCAAGATGAAGGTAGCTAAGCAGTATCTTTTTTTTTTTTTTCTCCTGGGTAATTATTAATTGCATTTGAAGTTAGTCAGTGTTGAACTGAGTATGTTTGAGACAGAAACCTGCTGTGCAAGGGAGGGTGTGGGATTGCAAGTATTACTGCATCTGAAGTATGTTTTTAGTGCTGACCACTAAAGTGTCAGTGCTGTGACTTATATCCAGGTGATGTAACAGAAAAGATGTTAAGACTGGTGTGATTTAGGTCTATTTGTACCTCAACTTGCCCTTTTTCATTTCTTGTTTTGTACTGCTGCTTTTCAGTTAGTAAAACAGATATAGTCAAGGTACAGAAAAAAACCAGAACACAGTTTTATGTGTCATCTTTTTGGTACCAGTTCAGTGACACTGATTTCCAGCTTGGAACTTTCAGGAACATGTTGTTTCCATGTGGTAACATAAGAATGAGAGTGTGTAGAGCTTTTCTTTTTTTAAAACTTGATACTTTTTCTCTCGGAAAATATGAAATGAAACCTACCCAGTATTAGGTGTGTGATTGGTAGCTCAGTTCCAGGGTTATTGTACCTCTAGAATTAGGACAATTGCTACTGTGTGTGACTAATAAATAAGAGTAGGGATTAAACAATGAGTGAGACAGGAGGCAATTTGTAACTGTAGCCTATGCTTCCATTGTTGGCTTCGTGCTTTTACTTTCTGAAAGGATTATTTTGCTGCTTTTCTAGGAATATGCAGTTCTGTAGATACTGAAATGGCTGAATATGCTAATATGCACAATCCAGACGAACAATTTAAAACAGTTGAATTCAGTACATTGTTACCCTCCCAGCAAGGAGGTAAATTTTAAAGCAGTGCACAGTTGGTAGGGACAGAGGTGGTGGTTGTATATTTGTGAACTACCTGGTGGATGTACCTGTTGGGTGTCACATACAAGTATGGCTGTGCATCTCTTTGGAGGAGCCCAACTCAGAGAATTGGGATCTGCCTTGTCCAGAAGGGTTTTCTACAACACCTGGCAAAAAGTTGAGTCCCCCAGGGAAAAACTATTGCCTGAGACAGCTCTTTCTCCTTTTGATCTGTTTGAAATCACTTTTGATTTCCAGGCTGTTTTCTGAATGTACTAGATCTTAGAACAGGAAAGAACAGTCTCCCTTCTGGCTTCAAAGCATGAGAGGCTTTTCCCACTCCATCACTGCCTCCTTCTTTTTTTTTTTTTTGGACCTTTGGGAAGAGATTTGAGTCGCATTTTCTTGGTGTGGCTTCTAACTTTGGTTTTAACTTTGGTTTTAACGTTGTTTTTGCACTGCCCACATGATTGATGCAGAGAGGGACTCGTCTCTGTGAGATGGACCCCTGTTAGTGGATGTGCTTCAGGGGAGATGGTCACTTGTTTACATCCTCTCCTCTTGTACTCAGTTACTCTTGGTTCTCATGCACTGGGTTTTTACAGACTGAAAAATGCTGATTTGCTCAGCAAATCATGCCTGTCCACCTGAAAGCTGGCAGGTAAAAAGCCCAGTGCTGATGAGAGCTGTGGCTCTTGCAGCACTGCAGTGCCAGGAGTTCATTGTCTCAGCTGCTGGGGCAGGTTGGAGAGCAAAACCTGGAGGTTGGAGTCTTACAAGCTTCATTATCCCAAGTGGGGAATTTGTTGGATCTCACGAGTTCTCTATTTCTACATTCAGAGCTAGTGATGACACATGCTTTTCAGAGAAAACCCACCCTTTTTCTGGATCTGTGTTCTTCTTGTGTTATTGTGCATCTGCCCACTCTCCCACTCCCCTCCCACACACCGCTTGTGGCAGCATCGCTGGGTATTCTGCTTTTCTGAGGTACCAGCTCCACAATACATTTGCTATGTTTAGGGGGAGATTGCTCAGGCTCCATTTTTGCTTGAAAATGTAATGTTCAGACTGATACGTGCAGAAGGATTTCTCTTTGTTAAGATCTAAATGCGCAATGCGATGACAAGCCCTCTTCTGCTTTTTTTAAGAAAATCTATCTTAGAACAGAACACTCCTTTCCTGCAGGGACATAAGCTATGACAAACGTTGATACACACTTCATGTTCTTCTCCCCAGACTGGAGACGTTCTTTCCAAAATAACCTATTGAAAGTTACTTATTTTTTTACCACACAATGGTGAAATATTTTTATGTCTCTTTGAGGTTAGGGAGAAAATGTTTATGGGACATAATAGTGAACTCACAGAGCTGACCTGAAGTTCTTCTTTACCAATAATCTTATAAAGAATATTTGCTATTTGATTTTGTCTTACTTGGCACCAGTTGTTCAATTCCCGTGTCTGATGTTTTTCTCTTGTGTAACCTGGGTTACAAAGTGAATCAAGTCCTTTTTTAACTTTTAAGCGAGTTTTCTGAAAGAGTGACTATTTCATGGTGAGCTGATGAACCTGCACATATCAATCATCAGAAGATAAAATTATTTAATAATCATGACCGCTCTCAGCCCTCCTGTGCATCAAACCTTACTATGTGCATCTTGTTATCAGGATTTAAGCATTTAGTGGTGTAAGGATGCCTTGAACTGTAATTTAGGGAAATCCCAAGGCAAGGATTTTTAAGTGTGGTGACCTGGAAGTTGGTCTTATTTTCTTATTTCCTGTTTAAAATCCCACCAAAAGGTTGGGAAGGTATCAGGAAGGTCGAGTTGTAGACTACCAGCTGTTCATTTCTCGTTTGCAAGTGAGGATCATACAACATGAAGAGGACAAGGCATGCCACAGTCCTTAAAGATTCCAGTTTTCCCCTTTATTTTATCCCTGTAGCTGCCTCCACCTGTCTCACTTTGCTGGTGGCTGTTGCTGCAGCTCCTGCTTGTGTTTCAGCCATTAGCTCTGTGTAGCCCAGTTTCTCACAAATGGGATCAACTGGGAGAAAACCAACCTGGATGTACAGAGGAGCCAGAAAAAGCTTGGCAGGCACTCCCTGCCCTGCTTCTTCCCATGCCTCCTTCGAGTAGAGAAATGTATTTTTGAGTCAGTGCACAATGCACAGGTCACTGGCACAAACAGAAAATAGATCCCTGTTTTAAAGATGCTTTTATAGTGCTTGGTGGTTTCCACCGATATACCCTTGTGAAAATGTGGTCTGTGAGATTGTCAAAGTGAAACCTTGTAGTACCAAGAGTGATAATAAATGGTCCTGGTCCGTGTGAACTGAAACCAAGTTCTGTGGGTACCCCAGTAATGTGAGGTGGGGATTGGGGCTGCTCCATGAGCTGCTGTCACATGAAGGGCTCCCAGGACGTGTGTCACTGGTGTGGAGGTGCTGTGTTACAGAGAAATCCATGGTGCCCTCCTTTAGGGGCCATCAGTAAAATTCAGCCTGAAGTCAAGGGTGCAGAGGGAAACCTGGCTAAGGGAGTTGTGTCTTTGGTGGGTTTTTGTGCTGCTGTCAGTGAGCTCCCATGTCCCTGTGCCTCTGGGGTGGCCAAACCGGGGATGCAGACAGCTCTGAGTGTGACAGCCCACCTCTCTCCCTCAGGACCTGCCTGGAAGAGGCCGGAGCAGTGGTTTGGAGGGAGCTGGAATGTGATGAGCTGTCTGCCAGTGACGAATGCAAAGGCTCTTTCTATCTACCCCTATCCTCTTTTGGTGAATAAATGCTTGATGCTAATAGTGTTAACAGTTACCCTGGGAGGAGGGAGCAGAACTTTGATGTGCTGCTTCAGCAGGGGGATAAGCAATGAGGGAATGACACGGACCCGTCTGTCTTTGCTATTAACGCTAGAAATCAGTGTCCCAAACCCAAATGTTATTTGGGAGGGGGAGGAGACTAAGTAACAACATGTTGTTGCTTTCTTTGTTGGTCCACGGCTGTAGTTGTTCTCCATCCTCAGCGCGGCTTTTTGGGTGGAATAACAACGAGCAGCGCCCTCGGTGGCGTTCTCTTCCCCTCGGTGGAGCGGAGCGGGGCAGGCCGAACCCGGATGACGGCGGTGCTTCCCCCTCCTCGCCGCTGAATGCAGCTCTCCTGATGCGGCCTCACGTGGCTGCGGGGAGGCACAAGGATCGCTTGCTTGAGCTCCGCCAGCCCTTCCCAGGCGGCTCTCCGCGCTGCCTGCAGGTGAGCAGCCCGAGCCTGGCCTCTCCCAGCCCGCTGCAGCATCCTCTCGCCTTCCCATCCGCCGGCTCGGCGGCCAGGGGCGAGATCGTGAGGAGCTCAAGGGCTCTCGCCGGGCTCCGGCACAGGCGGCGGCGGCGGCATCGAGTCCCTAAGTCAGACTGCACCATTTTCTTCTCACCCTGCGTAAAGGCGATGTGAGAAGCTGACGGGAGCTGCCCCCTCCCCCAGCTGCCGGTGATGCTGAAGCGGAGCCTTCCTCCCAGCCAGAAGACGCAGCCTCTCTCCGGTGGAATCCCGAAAGACCTTCCCACTTGGCTGATGTGTGTCTAAAGGCCGCTTTTTTCGTTTCCTTTTTTTTTTTTTTTTTTCCTAATCCATCCTCCCCGGCTGAGCCTGAAGCCCGCCTTCTCCTGCAGCCGCAGCCACGCCGAAGGGCTTTCAGGCTGCTAGGAGGTTATTCCAGCTGCTCCCTGGCCGTCTGTGTTTGTGGCTGCGGGCACTTTGGCACGTCGTGGCTCCCTTGCTCCCGAGCCATGGGTGCTGCAGAGGCTGGAGCGGAGCCGTGACCTTTTCCTGGGTGCCGGAGGAGGAAGAGTGGATTACGCCGTGAAGTTCTGGCTCGCAGCCAGTGCCCTTTGCGGGGGAAAAAAAAAATAAATCACCTGGATATCTGCGTGTGGTGGGAACGGCTTCCTTGGAGCTGGGCTTTGCCTCGCCAAAATGGCTCACGCAGCCGCTTCCATTAAAAAAGTTCGAGAGTCTGAACTCGAGGAGAGGGAGAGAAACCTTGAGAAGGAAAGGAAAAGGCAGCGGAAAATCTCTAGGGCTGATCGGAAGCGCAAGGTACGAGGGGGAATCCAGCCCCCTTCTCCTTTTCTCCCCCGCCCTTCCTCCCTCTCTGCAGCGCTTCGCAGGTGTTTGTTGCCATGTGTAGCGCTCTGCCCTTCATTTTCCAAACCTTTCCCATCACGTTTCCCTTTTGCATCCCTTCCCATCCCTCTGGAGCCACCGCTGTGGACTCAGCCCATCTGCAGTGAGATTAAAGTGCTGCCAGCCATGGCAGCCCAGAGCCACCCAGGAATCCTGCCCAGGAAGATGGCACGCCAGCATTGCCACCTTCCCTGCATCCCCCGAAGAGCTGGAGCTGCCTACCATCCTTCCCAGCCAGGTGTTCCAAGCCTCCAGCTGATCTGAAGGAGTTGTCAGGGAGGAGGGAGGTGGCTGTGCTTGTGTTCTGCAGCGTGTGAAGGTGCATTTCTCTACTTCCCGACAGCATTTCCCCCCATTTCCCACGCTCAGTCCCCCTTCCCACGTCCCCAGCAGTGCTCGGGGCTGTGTGTAGGACCTGTCTCGGGGTGCTGGGCGCCTCAGCCGAGCCGTGATGCAGTTTTTGGGTGTCGCTGGGGGATTCTGGGCTGGTGATTCAGTGTATTTACTCGGCACACTGCAGGTGCGTTGTCGGGGTAGGGCCTGGCACACAGGTCTGCAATCTGTCGGGTTGGCAGTCTCTGATTCTCTTAAGGCATCTCTGTTTAGGTGGTTCGGATTTTGGGGAGATTTCTCCTGATTTCTAATTAACTGTTGTTTTCCTTCTGTGTTAAGAATGGGGACTGCCAACTCCCGTTGCCACAGGGTAAAAAAATAAAGAAGAACAAAAAAATCAGTAGAGGTGATTTGTTTGCCAGATATATAATTTCCAAGGATGCAAAAAATATGAAATAGTGGAGAAAATATTAAAACCTGAAGGTTCTGTGAAGCTTAGCTTTAGGACTGTGTTACATTGGGAGTGCCTGTGTTAATGCCTCCTCATTGCTGTTTCTTTCCTCCCATCTCTGGAATCTCTAGCTTGTCACATGCATTAACTCCTTCCCTGACACCATGTTTGTATCCATTCTTTATAAATTTCTCAGAAGGAATAATATCAGAAGATATAATCTGTCCTTTTTTTATTTTCCCCCCTTTCTGCTGTGTTGCATGCAATCACAGATCTCTGTGAAAAGAAAAACACAGAATCCAGCCATGTAACATTTGAATTTACAGATCCTTTTGGCAGATCTCTAGGATTCAGAAGCCATCTGCTCCCTTGGCATACCTGGAAATTTTGAATTGATTTCACATTCAGTCTTGTGGATTTTTATATTCTGAACTGCAGGGCTTCAATAAAACGACTGAGGTCGTTTGATACCTTTGGGACCTTTGGGTGTGATCTCCGTGACTTTCCAAAGGCTCACTTGGCAGAGTTCATTAAGTCACATCCCAATTCTCTTTATCAAAACAGGAATGTCATTTCCAATGTATGCAGTGCCTGGATGCTGGGCAGAGCTGCTTGGGGCAGATTGTGATTACTCTCCTAATCCCTTAAATGGGACACTGCAGCATAAGGTAGTTTTTGTGATTACATTTTTGATTGTGGAATCCTCTGCAAAACAACCCCTTTTTTTTCTTTTTTGTTTTGAAAAGATGTATTTCATGTGTGGGTGTCCTTGCTGGAAGGGCTTTTTCCGTGTTTGCCCAGCACCCACCTCAGTGACTTCATCACGGCGTGCGTTGTTTTTCCTGATTTTTTTACAAATCCTATTTCGGCAACGTGTTTGGTTCAGATACCTTTTTGACTACTTTAATTAAAGCTGGGCAGAATTAATACTGCTCCTTCTGCTCTCTCTTTTCCCAGAGAGCTGCCGCAGCCGTGTTAGCAATCGCGTGTGGTGATGCAGGCTCCTAATCAGATTTTCAGATCCAGGGATCTCCAGTGGTCATTGCTCAGAAAACATGGAGAACACCTCGGCGTTGGGCACGTTTCTCCCTTTTTAATATTCAGCCCCTGCTCCTGGCTCCCTTCTGCTGCGGCTGTACCTCGCTGTTACATAAACAAGTGCCTGGCTGCACCCTAAACTTGCCTCCCCGTGGTTGAGGGTGGGTCAGGCTGGGCTTTTCCCTCTTGCTCCTGCTGCAGGGAGACGCACAGCGGCGCAGGGATGAGTTTGTGTCTCTGTGCATACGTGCTCCTGCTGTGCCTAGCCCAGCAGATCAGGTGCATGGATATGTGTACACGCCCATCATGTACGCAGAATAACCCAAACATACAATAGATGTTGTATATATAATAGAATGTTTTTATTTGGTCAGCAATTTAAGTGAGGTTTATACCACTGAGATATATGTATGTATTTATAAATATGTCACTTAAGTTCCTTAAAAACAGTCCATTGTTCTACTGTGAAATGGAAGTATCTCCCAGTAGGTGCGGAGCCCTCCCAGCTTTTGTTGGCTTCCTTGGAAAACGGAGGCTGGGAACAGATTATGGGTGTGGGTCCGTGAGGGGCAAAATGCAAATGGATATTTTTTTGGTTGTTCTCAGCACTTCAGCTCTTTCTGCGATAGGGGGAATATGGTCCCAGCTTTGTGACTTATTTGAAAGCCCTTGCATTGCAGTGAGTGGATTTTCAGTGCAATGGAGATCCATTTTGTTTGGAGAAGGCTAGTGAGAGCGGGAATATGTCAGGTGTGGTGGGCTGTCTTTCCAAACCCTCAGTTGGATACACGCCATGTTACCCCTACATGCCGTGTGCACGGAGCACTCCTTTGGCTTTGGGATGGAAACTTGTTCCCTGTCCCTGGAACATCCTGATTATTCAAAAGAGGATAATGAAAGGCCAGGGCTTTATCTTTTCCGCTCTGCCAGGATGTTTGGCATCTATTGCTACCATCCCGTGCTTTCTCCGAGCTCCCAGGACTGCTGCAGGGTGTGGGCCCTTCGTGGCTCTGCCTCTTCTCCTGAGTGTTCTGCTTCGTGATGTTTTGCAGTGTGATCATCACCTGTCTTGGCAGCAGCACCACAAACGGTGGCTGCAGCTTCTGTGCTGCTTGGGGAGGACTAGAATGTTCCTAAATGTCATCACGTCTGCTGCCTGACGTAGCTCCGGGCCGGAACAGCTCCCTGGCCACCGGCAGGGCTGGGAACAGGCCCGGCACCAGCAGCAATCTTGCTCAGATGATCTCTTTTTACCCTCCTTAGTAGTTCTTTAAAGATGAGCAGAATTATTCCACACCCAAAACTTGGGAAAAGGGACCTGCATGCTGAAGACCTTTTCCTTCGTTCGTTTTGAGGTTGACTCGGTTGGTTTTAAAAACCGGTTGAGAAGAGGCAGCTCTGCTCACCTTGCATCCAAGGGGAAATTTTCCCTTTCCCGCAGGGAATCTTTTCTTGCAACATGGATGCAAGCACATGTATGTAAAGAAAAAAACTCCCCAACCGTCTGAACAGTTGTGTGGATACCCAAATGTACCTGTTAAAAGCCAGGTACTAACAGAGGAGTTGAGCAGTTTAAGTGTGTAAATTTTAGCAAAATTCAGGTGTGCATAATCCCATTAAACCTAAATGGAAGGCCCAGCTCCACGTGCCTCTTGTGTCTTTTGAGAGAGCTGACTGTGGCTCATCCTCTGGGGAGTGAGGAGAGGGGAGCTGGTGTGATTATGCCGTGGTCACTCACTGAGTCAGCAGCAAAGCTGGAATTACAGCCTGGGAATCCAGCTGCCTTGCCCCTGGCTTTGTGTAACACACACTTGCTTTTCCCTGTCTAAAGTAGTTTTCAAAAGCAGACAGAGCCTCCTGTCTCTCCATGTGACAAGTGTTGGAAAGGTTTTAGAAAACCCAAGTAAAATAAAATCCCAAAGTAAAAAAAGCTGTTATAAAAATGGATTTTTCTGCCAAAGAAAACTAACTTTTCTGTGTTACAAATGTGGTAAACTGGTGGCTGTTACCTTTTACCACCAGTAATGAGAAAAGAGTTTGAGCTCTGCTCTCTTACTAGCAGTTAAGTGGGTATTGATTTAGTATTTTAAAAAAGTTTGGAAAGGGCCAGAGTTCAGTGAGGAAGGAGAGGGATTAATGAGTTTGGGCACGCTGGAAAAAGGCATCCTAAGAAGGAGGAAGTCACATGGAACTGCAGTTCTTTGCTTTTGGTCCCTCCTGTGTTGGTTCATGGATACCAAACTATCTCACCTGGTGTGAACCTGCTGCAGGATCATCCTGGAGTTTCTATCAGGCTAAGGAAGGCAGAGCAAGTCTCTCACTGCCTGACCTGTGTGTATGGGAGCTTCCAAGATTCACTGCAGCTTTAACCCGCTCTTCTTCCTTTAGCACCAAGCAGTGTTGTGTTCCTTGCCTTGGCAAACACCTCTGTGCCTCACTGGGATTTCTAGATGTTTCAAATGTCCCTCCAGCTATGAAAAAAAATAGCCTTTTTGGTGGTTTTTGATGGAGTGTTTGCATAGGAGGTGCCAGTTCCTGGTGCCCTTCGAGCGTTTACCTCCCGTTTCTCAAACTTAGGTTTTCCTTACATAGATGTTTCTGGGCATGAAAATAATATCCCACGGTTTGCTTCCTTGGAAAATGGAGCTTCTCTAGGTGATGTTGCATTTCAGAACAGACTGGGACTTGCTGCTGCATTTTATCAATGTCATATTTGAGGGGTGACGTGCAAGGGAATGAATATAAGGGGAGCGAAACAAGCCGGGGGTTGTAGTAAAGATGATCATCCCCAATTCCCTTACTTCTGATGGGAAAGGAGCAATTTTCCCACTACAAGTTTAAATTTGCTCACCTTTGTGTTGTTGTCTAACCGTACTGTGATTTATATGTGGTATTTAACTTTAATGTCCTTGGTAATTTTTGAAAGACAGGATTTATTCGGTCTTAATAAATCACCTGAAGACAGTATTTCAGAACGCAGATGGTTTGCCTCAGTGTGTCTTTGGCTTTGAGGGTGAATATGCCTCTTCACAAGTTAAAATTGAATTATTCCATATCTGGAATACTGGAGAAAATATTGACAGGGTCTCCC